TGACATGTTAAGCATGAAAGATGATAGCGGGGTTATATTCATTAATGATAAAAGTAGAAATATTGGGGACCTCATGCATTATGTGTGCTCATGCATTTTGGGGGATACCTCTATTCCATCACGAGGGTACGGACGCGTACATCCAATGGCAAGACAACGATCGTTATGTTTTGCATAGCGATGCCGTGACGGTTACTAGTTCTAACGAGTGTCCGGCCTAAGGAGCTCCCAGAGTATGCTCGCCCGATAAGGAATGTGCCCCAGCGGTGTGCGAACTGACTGGTGAGCCCATACTCGCATGTATGGGCTGTGTGTAGAGTATATAGTACACGTCTAAATTACCCGTTAGGACAGTACCGTAGGGAAATAGACTGAAAGGATAGGTCCCGTCATTGCATTTGCATGTTCTTCATTTAACCCCAATAGTGGGGTCACTTACTGAGCATTTCTTTAAATACTCAAGCCATGTGCTACTACATTTTTCAAGTTAAGGCAAGACATTCCTGTACGGCTGACGGTGGGATCGCAATTCGAGACCATGACACATGCATAGGATAGTGGTATTTATTTTCTTAGACTTAGGCTAGAATAGGATGTTTTTAACTTAAACTCTTATTTATTTTATTTAGTCTTTTGTTGTGTCGTTTTAGAGATGTTTTTGAAACACGTAAGTCCATGGCTGTGTTTTAAGATAAAGGTTATGTTTTATGGAATTTCAATGAAGTCTTCCGCATTCAATGTTTATAGTACATATACAGTAGCGACCTTAAATTAAGTAGAAAATTTTGGGTTGTTACGCAACATCTCTTCCACTCGAGGAGGAACCCACTATGGTCAAAGTCATCGATCACCTCACTGCCAAATATGTCGCACAGAGGGCCATTCTACTAATCGCTGCGACCAAGAGTATGCTCGGACTGACTTAGCTCATGTTCACCTTGTCGAAGCTTTCAACATATCCAATTCTATTGCTGGACGTGATATGCAAATTGGTTTTTGAACACGGTGTCTTCAGCTCATATGACCACAAATCCATCTATTTTGGATTAGTTCAGAAATTACACGGGTAAAGACTCTGTGATTATAGGAAACAGTGTCTCTCTACCCATTACCAATACCAACTGTACTCTTTCTCATGTTTCAAATATTCACTTATTAGATATATGGGTTGTCTTTCATATCACAAAAAATCTTCTTTCAATAAGTAAATTAATGGTTTGATTTCCCTCTTTCTCGGTTACATTTACTAATAATCTTTTTATTGTCTAAAATCGTCAAATATGAAGGGTGGTGGTGACCGGTAAAAAGGTTGAAAAGGGATAAAGAGCTCTATGTGGTGGAGTGTGCCAACTCTAACTTTATTTCTTTCCTTAAAAATTAATTATCGATGCTTCATATGATTTTATAATATGCTCGCCTCGGTAATGTGAATTATTCTGTTGTTTCGTTTTTAAATAAGAGAGGACATCTTTCTCTTTGTCTTTATTGACTTCTCCATCAATATGCAGTACTAGTCAACTTGCGAAAAATCATCGATTGTCTTGTTCGCGCAATGAACATAGATTTTCTCATGTGTTGAATTTTATTTATTGTGGTCTCTGGGGTTCTTCCCCATCAAATCCAATTCAAGTTTTCTTTACTTTGTTATTTTTATAGATTATTCGTCGTTCACTTGTCACCTTTTCAAATTTAATTTTTTTTCTAGAACGAACATTATGCTCGGATCAAAGATTTTTTAAAGGAATGAAGGTGCCAAATTTACTAGCACTTACTCCAAAACTCACTTACGTACTTCTGGCATCCATCGTTAACTTTTTTTTTTTCTTTCTTTTTGCTAAGACCTTTCTCATAAATTTTGCTGTTAAATAGATAGAGCTCAAATAAAATGAATATGAAGATAGAGTATCCTGAGTTTTTATCGTAACGACCCTAAATTTTTTACTTAAGGTTGTTACTATACCCATATCTTGAACATTTAATGCGGAATTGATTCTATATTATGACATCAAACTTGTGTGCTTCATTTATTACCTTGAAATAAAACTTATACAAAGAAAATAAATAAAATGAAAAATAATACAGAAGAAAATGCCCTATCCTAACTCACATACTACTAAATGGAAAAAATGCAATGAACCTATACTAATCTATAGTCTACTAAAATTGAATGCAAATCCATCCTATGCATGTGCCACAATCTCGGAGTTTGCCATGCCACCATCACGCTTACAGGGGCGCCTTACCTTACTCTAAAACATATAGTAGCGCGTGGCTTGAGTATTTAAAAATACTTAGTAAGCGACCCCTATTGGGGTTATAATGCAAAGACATACAAATGCATGCATGAGACCTATCGTAATAGCCTATTTTCCTACGGTGACTATCCTAATGGGTAACTTGGATGTGTACTTATTTCACTACACACAGTCCGCACGTGCGGGTATGGACCCACCAATCAGTTCGTAAATCTCTTTGCCCCCTTTCTGGTCGGGTGAGCATTCTCTGGTAGTTGTTGATGTTGGACACCCGTTAGAAGTAGCGGTCGTTGCGGCAACATTATGGTAACACAATGATCATTCCCCTGCCTCATAGTGTACGCGTCCGTACTATCGTGAAGGAATAGGGGTACCCATGATGCACGAGCACTCAATAATGCATGAGGTCTCAACATTTTTCCATTTTAATTATCATAATACAACCTTGCTAGAGTTCATACATATCATATCATTTTTCATATAATTTATCATTTCTTTCATGCATATGTCGGGGTTGTATTTCATGCTAGTTGTCGTTTTGCATATCAATCATAACATATCATTCATGTCACATATCAGTCATATCATAGCGTTTTCACATTTTCAAACATAACAATCTATAACATGCACATATCATATCATGTATCATAACAGTCACATAATAATCCTATAAGGATGTCAATGGAGGCCCGACTCCAGCTAAGGAAGGCTAGCACTACACTGGCAGTCGACGCCACCAATTACTACGCATTGCCGGGAGTCTGCGCTATCTGGTAAACACACGCCCTGACCTCGCCTATTTCATTGGATAAGTGAGCAGGTTTGCGGAAGCACCTAGGGAGGAGCATCTCATGGCTGTGCACATCCTGTGCTATGTGGCTGGAACCAGAGGCTAGGGTGTGAGATACTGTGTACGGAGAGAAAAGAAGAAGCTTGAGCTAGTCGGCTACAATGATAGTGACATGGTCGGTGACGTGATGATCGTAAGAGCACCAGCGGGATGATTTGCTTCCTCTCAGGTGGCGCGATCTGCTGGCAATTAACTGAACATAAGGTAGTTGTTCTGTTTTCTTGCGAAGCAGAGTACATCGCCGCTTCAATGGCGACCACACAGGGGGTCTGGCGTTGCGGCTGATGGAAGAACTCATTGGAAGAGAAGACGATCCACCAATGTTATACGTGGACAACAAAGCTACGATCTCCCTGATCAAAAGTCCAGTTTTGCACGACCGAAGCAAGCACATAAAATCAGGTTCTATTACATCCGGGAGTATGCAGATCGGGGGCTTATTAAGATTTACTTCATCCAAACAGAGGAACAACTTAGAGAAATCTTCACCAAGTATCTGGCACACCTAAAATTTGATTGTTTGATAAAAACATGTTGTTTTTCTTGTTTAGATTATTCACTTTTTTTTTCGGGAAGATTTTAAGCATTTTTAATTGGACATTTGTGCCATGTTTATAGGAAAGTGGCCCAAGTTTAGTTGGCCACGAACATTTTTAAGATAGATTTTTTATTTAAACAGGGCAATCAAAGGAGAAACAAATGTACGCATGTTTCAGCAACAACAAATTCCAAAGCTTTCGTTCCCGTGCTCCTTTTGTTATTTTCTTGCACTTTCTGTTTCTTTCTTCCTAGACGAAGAAAAAAAACGTCATCTAGGTGTGTTTTAGACGAAGAAAGAAAGAGAGGGGCGAAGACAGAGTGGGGTCTGCACCTTGTGGATTGGTTTACTATCAAGCAAATGAGCACGAGTAAGAATATCTTGAGCATATTTTAATTGACTAATAAAGAGACCATCAGGAGTGGGTGAAGAGCCACAATGATAGATTTTGTTCATAGCACCATCATTGTCAGGAGTGAAGGTCGACGATGGAATAGTAGGTGGAGCCCGTAGAGAAGTAATCGACTCTATAGTAGGTGGTGAAGTTCCAATGGACGGAGAGGGAGCCGCGCCCCCTGGAGCAAGGAACGAAGATAGTGTTGAAGCCAGAGGAGTCGCCACAGTGGGTGAAGGAGGCCAGCGGCGACTTGGTTGGCAAAGAGGCTAGTGCGACACCCAGATTCCGAGGGTAAATCTCTCTAGAAGGTCGATAGGCTTCTCGAGATTTGTATATTCTAAGGTTAGGGTTTTTATGAAGGATGAAGGGAAGATTGAGAAGAAAACGAAAGAGACTATGTTGGCTAAGGGGAAACCAATTGTGTTAGAGAAAGTGAGATTGTATATACAGAGTACGGCGAAAGATGGGCCAATGATTTGGGAGCTGATGAGTAATCAACCGGCTTCACCTGCAGTAGCCATAGAGACTGCTCCTACGGCATCAAACCCAGTAGTGGTGGTGAAAAAGAATATGAGTAGAGGATTCAGAAGCCATTGAAAATAAAAGATTAGAGTTGCTAAACCGAAAGAGGCTATAGAGAATATTTGCTAAAACCACCCTACTAGGGGTGAAAGTTCTCTATTTATAATAAAAAAAATTAGGATAGGAAAACAGTAATAAATGGTAAGAGTAATAAAGGGAAAGATACTTGCCACCAAAAACAAACATGGTTTATAATAGAAGATCAAATAAAATAGATATGTTAAACTATAATTAAAGACTAAATATCCTTAGAGTCTGGGTCGGGTTCTGTGGTTGGCTCTTCCTTCGGATTTCTCTCATTTCCTCGGTGTTTGTGTTTTTTCTTTTTATTTATTTTTAGAAAGAGAAGAAAAAAAAGAAAAAAAAAAAGAAAAAAAGAAAAAAAAAAAAGTGGATCAAGCGGGCGCTGACTGAAATTTTGCCCCGTCCTACTTTCTGGCGTTCCATTACATTTTCTGCTTCCGAAGGAGGAGGAAGAGAGCGAGGAGGAGGGAGACAGCGCGCCGTCGTTTGTTCATTGTTTTTTTTTCCATTACTCTGGTGCTGTCGTGCGGCCTCTCAAGATCAAGTGAGTGATTTTCTGTTCCTTTTCTGGCTTTTTCTTAGCACCTCATATTCAATTCCCCTTAACATCTGTATCGAAACATTCATATGTCTTTTCTATTAGTCTAAAGCGACTCTCCAGTGCTAAGTATTTGTTGTTTTCCCTAATCTCCAGATCTTCGTAATACGTTTAATTAGATGTTGTGGTCTCTAGAGTTGAGATAATGTTAAATCTGGCACTCTGTAAGGTCCTTCCAGCTGCACTCACCTTTTGATTTTCTCATTATTTTTCGGCTCTCCTGGTATACCATTCTACTATTTTAAGATCTGGAGAGCTGGTTTTTTAGGGCTTTCTTTAGAGTTTCTTGGATGGTCAATCAATTTGTTGATATATCACTTGGAAAGAACGCATCCATTGCCTGTCTCAAGTTCTTGATGCACTTGTGAAGTCTTCATTCAACCCTTGGGTTCGTTTTCCTGACTTACTTGTCCGACTAGATACGCAATGAGGGACTCTGATACCAAATGTTGATTTTGATCCTCAATCAAAGCACACCGAAATGAAAAGCCGAAACATAAAGAACAACTTGAGGGGAGAGTTTTTTTGTACTAAAGAATTTTAATTACTATGTTTTTCAATTCTTTTTGTTGATGCCTTTATAGGGGAGAAAGTACTAACAATATTTCTAAACTTACTTTACAAGTTAAAAACTATGGACCATTCTCCTAAAGGAAACACTAACCATTTTCCTAAACTTAGCTCCACAAGTTAATAGTGGCTAATAATTCTTATAAAGTTGCTCCGTGTTAATAACTTCTTTTACTAAGTCAAGCTTATTGACTTACAACCTTCAATTACGTGTCTCAATAGAAATACTTGGGGTCTCTCTAGTTGTTCATGTTATGTCCTTCAAGTATCATGGCGTGAATGAACATCAACTCTGTTATACTTGATGCTTTGAAAACTGAGCTGTTTATCTTTTACTGAATACAGTGTTTTTCGATCTTGTGACGAGAATACTAGAGCTCGGTTTTTTTTCTTCTGTGTTCTAGTTAATATTTGAAAATCTGTGCATGTGCTCGTTACCTGGGAATCCCTATTTCTATGGTTATGTTATTTATGCTGAGTGAGCTAGTACTAAACAATTTTCATTTGGAGATCTAATTTCAATTTCTGCTGTCAAAATTTTCTTTATCTTTTGCTACATACTTTATTGGAGGGTAATTATGCATTTTATTGCATCTACAAATGAAGAAGCAATGAACGAAAATTATTTTGTTTAAGAACATCTGCATTCTTTATGACTCGACGAAACTATTTCTGCTCTTGGCATGCCGCGTTTGATTAATGTTTATGGGAATTCTTTATTTGATATGATAAGTAATGTAGTGTTGCTTTTGCAACTAGATTTGAGGAGAGTGCTGGGGAAGAGCTTGGCAGTGGATCTCCAATCCAAGGATATTATTTGGCAGTGGCATGCTACTGTGGAAAGACCAGAAGACTTCTGAATTCGCTTGAAGGCCAAAATGAGCAGCTCGAGAGAGCAGTCTCCGGATTGGATGCGTTCTTTCCAAGTAATTTTGTCTACTTGACGGTTTTGTTTCACTATTATAGATCACTCTTCACGTGGATTTGAATTTTCCAAGTTTTCTATTCATATATGAACTTCAAAAACTGTCTTCCCAGGTAATTTTGAACAATTGCAGGGGTTTCAACTCTACGTTCTTGCTTTTCAAAAGGCTGATTTGTAGTTGTAAGAACTATCATACTCATTCTTCCCAAAAGTTGTTGAAATAGTTGTCTTAAAGAGGAGAGAGACAAATCATATATTTGTTACACTGATACTAAGGTTAAGATACAAGTTTTCAGTCATGTTTTTCCTTCTAGAGTTTGTATGTTTGAATTGTCTTTAAAGGTTTGAAATCGTGAAGCAATTATTGCAGAGTTATTTACTAGTATATGTCTTCATCTTCATTATCAATCCTGCACTTTGAGATCATTTCAAAGTTCATATCTTTTTCATGATAATTGATACCAACAAGAACAATTTACTTTGTTGAATAGGCACCAACTAGTGCTGCGCTATCCTCTAATTCTGAATCTTCAACGAATGGTAGCTTATCAATGGATGATTCAATTGATCAAAAGGGTCCATCTTCACTTAAAACCACACAAGATTCAGATGGAGATCAGATTCAAGGTATATCAAAGTTAAACTTAAAAAGTCTCAGTTCTCATCTTGTAGGAACATTGTCTGGCACCCAAGAGGAATTGAAATTAAGGGCAAGAGAGAAATCATGTTTATAAAGGGCTTTGGTTTTGGTGTTACTCTAATAATCCTAAGCTGGAAACTTTAATGACCTTATGTGGATTCCTAACTACTAGGACTTGGATTATCATCCTTAAATTATGCTTTCTGGATCAATAACTCTTTTGTCTGATTGTTATAATGCAGGGGACAGTGACAACCATAATCTGGCAAAGGAAGTGAAACTTGAGGAACGTACAGGGAATGAAGTGAGAGAATTTACTTCTGGATTTTTACTTTTGTGAGTGTGTGTATTATTAGGAATATTAGTAATCTTCATCTAATTTGTTTCAAGAGTTCTACATAGTACGGGATGGTTGGGATAACTTTTTAATATTCTAGTCTAAATTGTTTGTAGTAAAATCTACTTTTCTGATGGGAGATTCTTGTTTTCATTTATCAGATCTCAAAGCAGTCAGTTTTGATGTTATCATCGGATTCTGAGTTATCGCCTGTTAATAGTTTTATAAAGGAGGATTATGGTCATCATGAAGAATTATCTGAACTTACGACATCTCACTTCCAAGGGAGAGGGAAGGATGAAAATGCAGGTGGAAAATCTAAGTCAAGGAAAATATCAGATAAAAAGTTGTCAAAAAAACAGGTCAAATCACAAGTTTGCACTTCGCCCGAAGAGAAGATAGTCATTTCTGATACAAATAAAGAACGACTTACGTTGGAAGGTGAGAGAATAGTACGATAATAATGCATAACATTAAAAGGTAGAATCTCTAGTGACTAATGAAGAAAACATTAAAATTACTCGAGTCTTGATCTTGTATGCTGCATCATGCATGAAAGCTACTGCCTGTTATGCATGATTTTGTATTGGAATATTTTGTGCAAAACTTTCGTCCATTCAGGATCTGAATGCTATGTAAGCAATGGTGGAGATGTGGAGATCATAGAAAAAGATGCATTGGATGACTGCAACGAACGTCCTGTAAGATTTGCTCAAACTAAAGAGAACAAACCTATATAGTTCATTATACTCTGACCACTTATTTGCTTTAGCAATTCAATTTACAGGTTTCCTCCTCAAGGTTGCCACTGGTGCTGTCTGACAAAGTTCAGAGATTGAAGGTAGTGTTGCAACATAGGTTACGATAAACGAGTTCTTTTGGCAGCTGCCTCTTGTCATGATTTAGGTTTTAAACCTTTCTGCTTCATTATATACGCATATATATATAAATGAGGTTCATTCTATTATGGGCCCGTGTACATCTTTTTTAGTTTCTGAGTCGGGTTTTGGAGGGAAGAGGGGAAGTGAAGAAAGAATATTTAATACAAGATTGTAAAAACTATTGTCTTATGCAGGCACTTGTTGAGTGTGAAGGAAATTCAATAGATTTGAGTGGTGATATGGGTGCTGTTGGACGAATTGTAGTTTCTGATTCCTCATTTGCAAAAAATGAACTTTGCCTCGATTTGAAAGGTATGTTTCATTCATATGTGCTATGTTTTTCCATTAAGGGGCAGGTATACTTCAACATATATTTGCAAATGTTTATTTATTCCATACTCGTGATTAATGTCGAGTTTCTATATCGTTCTTTTGGACCTCGTTGGCTTATTTCAAAGATATTGGTATGTCTTGCCATTGTTGGTAACTTGCCTATGGTTTCCCAACTCAGGTACAATTTATAGAGCGGCAGTAGTTCCTTCAAGGACATTTTGCGTTGTATGTTATCCTTCTCCACTTTTCTGATTCTTCAAATGGAACTTTTTTTTTATTACAAACTCCGTACGTGAAAGTCATGTTGAAATGAACGACCCTTTTTTTATTGCTTTTTATTGTTCCAAAATGAATTATTTAAGAAATTTTCCACCTGGCTTTGTTGATGTAGATCTTGTCTTGTTCAGGTTAGCTTCGGTCAGTCGGAGGCGAAGGTCTGTCCTTTTCTCCCATCTATTACCTTGTTCACATTCTCTTGTATATTAATAATAATGTAGTTCGTTGGAACGTTTACTGTGAGATCCCACATTGGTTGGGGAGAAGAATGGAACATTTTTTATAAGGGTGTGGAAACCTCCCTTGATAGACGCTTTTTTAAAAATCTTGAGGGAAAGCCCGAAAGGGAAACTCCCCAGAGGTCAATATCTGCTAACAGTGGGTTTGGGCCATTACAAATGGTATCAGAGTCAAACACCAGGCGATGTGCCAGCGAGAAGATTGAGCCTAGAAAGGGGGTGGACACGAGGCGGTGTGCCATCCAGGACGCTGGGTCCCAAAGGGGAGTGGATTGAGGAGTCTCACATTGATTGGGGAAGGAAACGAATGCCAGCGAGGACGTTGGCTCTAAAGGGAGGTGGATTGTGAGATCCCACATCGGTTGGGGAGGAGAATGAAACATTCTTTATAAGGGTGTGGAAACCTCCTCCTAGCAGATACGTTTTAAAAACCTTGAGGAAAAACCCGAAAGAGAAAAGCCCAAAGAGGACAATATCTGCTAGTGGTGGGCTTGGGCCGGTTGATTTCTCACGAACTTTCTCCATTTTCCTTATTAAGCACCTCTTTGTTTTTCGTTTGCTGTATTTTTCATTACATTGTCCTAGAACTGCCATAGAAAATATGACTTATTGGACGTATGCCACTTGATCAGATAGAATCTATCATGAATGACTTCATACAGCTGAAGGCACTCTCCAACGTTGATGAGGCTGAAACCATGGTTGAAGGTTGACTTGCATTGAAATTTAAACCTTTGTCAACTTCTCTAACTTGTTCTATCCTCATTCAATCTGCTTCATCTATAGGAACATTGGATGGCTTCTTATTTGATTCTGAAGATGAGGGCGAGAAAATAAGTAAAGTTCCAACAGACCAAAACGAGCTTGCCGAAGCGCTTAACAAGAAATCTAAAAATAAAGACGAAAAATCATCAGTATGTCTCTTTCTAAGCTTTGATATTCAATTGCTTATGTTATCTGTTGAATGAGTGTATGATTATGATCCGGAATGGGCAATGTAGGGGCGGAAGCGTGTTAAAACAGGAGGAAAGGTGCAGGCACCCAAGAAAGCGAGGAAGAAAGTTCAAGGTTCTAAGACTAAAAGTACAAAGAGCAAGAAATGAGGTTTGAATTTTTGTTGTATGCTTATGAACCGAGGTGGTCAAATAGTTGTTTCTTATTGTACCCATGAGGCAAAATGGATGAGATTTGTACCTTAGTTCTCGAGAACCCAACCCATTGAATTAATAACTCTCTGTCTCTGTCAGATTGAATTAATAATTGTAATGATGAAATATGCTTTTGATCGTTCTCATATTTCTCATTGTCTTTCTACTGTTTGTCTTCATCTTTCTCATCTCACACATTCAACTTAGTTATTAGCCTCTTTATTTCTCATCTTTCTGATTGTCTTTCTACTCTTTGTCTTCATCTTTCTCATCTCACAGCATTCGACTTTGTTATTAGCCTCTTTATTTCTTCGTCAACATCGTTCTCATCCCATAGCAGAAGTTGACGTTGCTCACTAGATGCCTCTTTATTTCTCCGTTAGACTACCTTCTCAGTTTCCATTTTTCTGTTTGACATCATCTCTGTGTTTCTCATCGGACGACGTTGTCGACTATCTCTTAGCTCGGTGTTCCGTTCCACTTTTATTGGACTTCTTCGGTTTGTGTTTGTCGTCGAACTTCTCCGACCGGTGCTACGTTGTTTCTCTACTCGACTTCTTGTCTCTTCTCAGTTTGGAACAACTCGAACCCAACTTGAAAATAGAGGTTTGAGTTAAGTTGGGTTGTGAGAATTTTCGGGTTGGGTACCAATCCAACCAACCCATACTTTTGGGTTGGTTCAAAAAAATCTCTCGACCCAACTCGATCTGAACTATTAAACTTCTAATTTTGGGGAAAATTACTACAAAAAAGGATCCTCAATTTAAGTTTTATGATTAAAGAAGACTGTCTCAAATACATATAAGAAGCTTTATGATAAAAGAAGACCATCTCAAATACATATAAGAAGCCTTAAATGATCCAAAAAGGGAGTTCGTATAGTTATGGAGGGGATGAATGCTATAAGACAAAATTATCTATGGGCAATAGTAGACTTGCCAAGAGAGAAGATAGCAATGGATTTAGGGTTTTAAGTTTTTATCCTAAAACCCTAAACCCGAAACTCTAACTCTCTAAGCTCTAAATTCAAAACTCTAAACCCGAAACTCTAACGCTCTAAGCTCTAAATTCAAAATCCTAAACTCTAAACTCAAACCTTAAACCATAAGACCTTACAACCAAAGCAATGGATTTAGGGTTTTATGTTTCGGTCTCAATCATCTTTGGGTTATTTTCAATATAGGGGTACCATAAGGGTGCCATTGACGACATTTTTCATTCTTGAAATAGAATGCTATTGAGATGTTTAGAAAAATTTATTTCTTGTTTCGGTCTCTTACAATATTCACTAGAGATTATAGTAAGACTAAAATGAGGACTACAAAATAGTTGTGGCTAGGTGTACAAGACCTTATAATCCAAACCCGCATGTGCAAATAATATTTGGGGAGTTTGAATCAATATTTTTTTTAAACCATTTTTACGGAGAAGGTTCAAATTTGACTAAATTGACCCACTACTATTCTCGCTTGTGTGGTCTCTCATCCTAGGACGAGTTTTAGAAGAATGGATCCTAATGGGTTGTCCACTTCCAGTCCACACATAATACACAACACTAGTCTTGATCCTAATATGATCATTTGGAAGACTTGTTAGGTCCTATGGTCGGTGAACAACATGAATCTTATCATGATACCATATCCAGAGTTTCATGCATCCCTTCTGATATAGTCTTATGTTTTGAATTTCATGCATCCCCACAACATAGTTTGAATATCTATGTTCAAGGTTCCATGTGTCCTCTACAACGTGGTATAAGTCATGACATTCTGCAACGAAACATAGGCAGGGTACCCCACCATGGTGGGAAAAAACCTGAGATCATGTTGCACCACCATCGGGAGGTCTAAGGTGATATTAGGGCATGAGACGAGTCTCGTAGAGTCGTACCTAGCTATCTGGGTGTGTTAAAAAGTTGCCACCTTGGTGGGAGGTTGGTCTTAGTACCATAAACTTGGAATATAACACTAAGGAGTGGACTTGAACAACTTGCTTTCCTCCATATCTCATCCTTGCTTCTAGTTGTGCCTTTGCTACCATTATGGTATCTAACACCAAATCAAGGGTGTTCTGACTTGATTTGATCCTTAAAAGTCATGGCTTAACACCCCTAGACCTCTTGGACATGTGTCAGATAATTACTAGACGCGAAGGGAGATCCAAGATCTATGCGCGACTCGACATTTGACCCAATTCATAATCTGTGACATGCTTTTCCTCTGAATGGCAACCCGTTCTAACTAACCCAATCCGGCTCGCCAACCCGTGAGTGTCCTTCCCCTGTAGCGCATGTGGGGCTACCTTCAGGCATGTTTAAGCGAGTGTCACGCACATGAGGTTAATTTTTTGCTCGTTCAACTGCTTTTCATCTCGATTTTGATATTAACCTTATTATGACTTTGAATTAGGACCTACCAGAAATATTTTAAAAATTATGGAGCATCTAACACATGAAAAAGTTAGCTTGGAATGACACATGTCATCATGTAAGTAGCCATTCGAGCTATCTTAAGATACCATTTATAGGGATTGCTAGGATCGTGTAGTATGTGGGCACATCTTATCTTAGGTAGTTAAAATATGCATATTTAGGATTCTAGAAAGATAATTTGGATGAATATGTATGTTATGAATAATTACCGAAATGCCCACTGTGTTAAAAAAAGGAAGATGAGATAGTGCAATCTATGCTTAGATGATTGATGGATGTTATTTCTTTGTAGAGTTTACATGAATGTTCATATTATTTTTTATTTGCTTTGGGTGATTGATAGGAATATCTCCCTGAAAAAGTATGCATGAGAAAACCAAATGAAGATTAGAGCATTAGAACTAGAACGGTTTTCACGTTAACTAGGTCAGTATATTTCCAGGAAATCGAGCACCCAAGGATCGTGAGAAGAGATAAGAGGTCTAGACCTAAGTGTACCCAAAGATTGGATTAGCTCTAAGGAGATAACCCGGAACATCCTCGAAATGTGAGGTGGTATTTAAAGTGCTAAACAACTCCCATTAACCTAGCACACCTCTATGACAAAGATGACTAAGAAAACTTAATATGCCCTTAGTGTTAGCAGCTCCATATTAAGTTGTATAATTTCAAGTAGCTAGACATGGGCCAGATAGTGTAGCACATCGAGGCGACCATGAGCCATATCTTGTGGAAATGGCCAGGGGTCTCCCAAACATGATATTCATGCTGTAATCTCTTCTTAAGAGGGGGCATGGGACCATGCAAGTAACCTAGTAGCTGGCAAGCACATGAGGTCGCACCCCTACACTCAGAGTGTCTATGGCCCTATGGAAGGATATGCTAGTTAAACTTTCATGGATGATGTACAGTCCGGTTAGATGTCATACTATCCTTAATAGATTTAATGAGGTAGTGCCTCAAACCATGATACTCGTCATTCACTATTGTGACTATGCAAGTTGACTCAGTCTAACAGTAAAGTAGTTCCCCTAGAGATGAGATTTTCTGCACATGGATATGCCACTAGAGATGTGTGAACCACCTCAGATCCACGATGGGTTGGTCATGAGATTCGTTCAGAACTTTGAGGTCCTCCCAAAAGCTTAGATAGATGTAGAATCAGATCTAAATTTCTTATAGCCTAGAGAAAATCCTATGGCAACCAACTAGTTTAAGGATGCGACGAGTGACTACAAGTAGGTTTCTCAATAAGTATTTTTATAATCACTCATTTCTTTATTTTTCTCAAGTGTTCGCTAACTACCGGTAAATCTTGAAGGGCGTTTGGTAGTTGTACAGTCACATCACAAAGAGGGTCATTCTGAGGCATAAGTTTGTCTTTATATTTTGAGTCTTTTGTATTTTGTAAATGTATCCCAAACTCTGTTCTCCATTTGTAATAAATTTGAACATCAGCTTATTTTATTTTTAACTGAGGAGCTTATTTTATTTTTAACTGAGGTGTTGTGGGTTTTTAATTCGATTTAAATTTTACCATATTTTTGGTTTCATTTGTTTGCTGATGTCATGTTTTTTTAGTTATGGTCGGAAATTCGAAGTGTCGAAAATTTGATCATGAGAGACCTTCCTATCACGTGATATTACTTTTATTATTGTTTTTATTTCAATGGAGTTAAAATTAAATATTATTTCTATCAAAATTAAAGCTTTAGATCCAAATTTATTCATTCCCATCTAGTGTTTTCTATTTTTGTTTTCATTTTTTAAGAAATACAAAATTTTGTTAATTAAAAAGATATGGTGATTAAGAAAGGTAACTTTTAAAATTTATGGTAAATTATTGATTAAAAAGATATGGTGAATTGTAATGGTAAATTATTGATTAAAAAGATATGGTGAATAAGAAGGGTATGGTAAAATGAGGCTAAAAAGAAACACAAAGACAAGAACATCAATGTTTCAAATTCTATTTAAGACATCATTCACAACACCCAATCTGTCTACTTTTTTACATTCGACAATGTCTTTACAACGTGGAGCTCTCTTTTTCATCTTCTTCTTCCTCCTTACCATGTCTTTTCCTTCCATGCCCATGGCGTCTTCTAGACTCATCTTCCCTTTAGGGGCGGATCTAAAAGCGTTACAAGTCACAACGATTACTAATATTGCACCACTTCGTAAGCAACCATTACCTGATTCATTTTTCCTAAACATCAAGCCGAAGGGACCGATCCACAAGTCTGCTCCGAGTCCAAAACATAACAAGAAATGAGCTCCTAAGTGACAACCTAGTATATGTTCTTTATGCACCATCACTATATAACCTAGTATATGTTCTTATGATTTAAGTGTAATAATGTCATCCTCTACGTGTTATTTAATTTCTATATGATTTGTTGCTTTTGATTTATGGTTTGTTCTTACATGTATTTCAACGTCAGATCTTTAAGGACTTCATTCAAAATAGGGCATTAGGGATATTAAAAAATATCGATGATCAAAATTTAATTAACCTAATCCAACCGATACGGTTTAAGGTTTCGATTATGAATTTATTTGGGTTAAGTTGAGTTGGGCTATAGATTGAATTGGATCTTTGGTTTCTTGGGTCCCAAATTGGTTGAGCTGGTTGAACTAAACCGACTCGAATTATTGTTAA